CCTCAACAGTAGCAAAAACTGCTCTTAACCACGAGCCATCTCTCTAGCACCAGGCTTATGCTTAAAACAGATCCAAAGTTCCTCAGCTTTGAGTTACAGCTCTTTATACTAGAGTTGTAAAATGGCATAATAGATAAAGCTGTGTGATCTTGGATATAATTAGCTGTACAAAGACTCTGGATTTTCCCATATAAAGGGATACATAATGATAGATTCTCAAAGGATGTAAAGACTAGGTGAATATATGTGTTAGTTAGTAATGGAAGTTCTCATTGAGGCATGCTTCTTTTCTTGTCTTGAAACTTGCCAGATACAGGAAGGGTCAGCCTGAGCATCAGCACTCACATTGGTTGTCAGTTCTGGCAGGGTCGGAATAGCAGATTCCTGAAACTTGCTGTCTATTCAGATCTAGTCTCAACATTATTTATTCACCCACCATCTCATCCTTTATTCCTCCTTGGTTTCTTTGGTCCTAGAGTCCAATAAGTGCTCCTTTTATTCCTGCTGCTCCTGTCAAAACTGCCTTGCCTGCTGGCCCCCAGCCCCAGCCCCCACTCTCAGCTCAGCCCCAATCACAGAAGAGGAGATTCACAGAGGAGCTGCCTGATGAACGGGAATCCGGACTGCTTGGATACCAGGTTAAATAACTATCCAATTTCCTTTCTTTATCTTACCCTGCTGTGTTCTCCCTTTACGTAAGAGAATTTGCATCCATATCAACTGTCTTATGGGATAGGAGTTTTTGCTTCTGCAATCAGATTAGGTTAGGATTTTATTCTCGGGATTGCCATGGTTTTGTTTTTGAGGTCAGTGTGATAGAACAGCATAGAAGGAGACGGTCTCCTATGACTGACATTCAGGAGCTGTGTTAACATTTCATGCACTTTCCTATTTATGACAGCACTCTTGAAAGCCACTCATCAAAAAGACAGGGTTTCTCTGTGTAACAGCTTTGGGTGTCCTAGAACGTGCTGCCTCCTGTTGGTATTAAAGGCGTGCGCCACCACTTCCCTAGCCCAGTTCTTTGCACATTTTTATGGCGGTCAGAGGAATATTGGGGGAGTCGGCTTTCTCCTTCCATTATTTGAATTTAACCTGTGGGTTTTAATTTGCTGTTCTTTTTGCCCACTTTATTAAAAAAAAAAAAAAAAAAAAAGCTGGAGAGATGGCTCAGTGGTTATAAGAACACTGGCTGCTCTTCCACGGGTCCTGATTTCAGTTCCCAGCAACCACATGGTGCTCACAACCATCCATAATAAGATCTGATGCCCTCTTCTGGTGTGCAGGCATACATAATAAATAAATCTAAAAAAAGGACAGTTTCTCTCAGTTCTACCCTGTTCTCCCACCCTAGGAAAAGCCTGTCAAAAATGGAGTGCTAACACATTATGAACATAGCCATTAATAAGATGATTTAGGGGAGATATAGTTCAGCGGTAGAGCATATGTAGCATGTGCTGCACAAGGTCATGGGTGTAATCCCCAGTACCAGGAAAATGAGAATAGTTTTGTTGCTGTTTCATCAGAAGAGGGACCTTTTATGTTTTATCACAGTCCTCAAGGCATCTTCAGACCGAAACCTTTTGCATTTAATGTCGCTAGGTGTCCAGAAACCATTTGGATTTAGAGCAGTTGGTTAAACAATGAATTACACCTTACCCATGACTAAGTTCTGCAGAAACAAGAACCTCTACTTGACTAGTTACTCTCGCAAATCCCAGAGAACATGTAATGCCATTTAATTGATGGCCATTATCAGAAAGATGAGGCACTTGACAGTTACATTAAGGAGCTAAAGTCAATGCAGCAGTTGTAGATTTGCTAATGCTACTGTATTTTTCTGCTCATAGCATGGACCCATTCATATGACTAATTTAGGTACAGGCTTCTCCAGTCAGAATGAGATAGAAGGCGCAGGATCGAAGCCGGCAAGTTCCTCAGGCAAAGAGCGAGAGAGGGACAGGTAAGTTAATTGGATCAGAACAATTAATTGAAAACTGGATGATATAACCCCTTTCACTGTCTCAGGCCGTTATATGCTTTTGGGCATTTCCCTAAGGTTAGGCAGTAACAGAAATGTTAATACAAGCAAGCCATTTTTACTACTTTAGAATGATAGTCTTATACAATGGTGCGTGCCTGCAATTTCATCATTCAGTGGGTAAAGGCAGAGAAGTTTGAGGCATGCTTGGTTACATGAGACTCTGCCTCAAAAAAAAAAATAAAAAAGGGTGGAGCTAGAGAGATGGCTACTCAATGAGAGGATCTAGGTTCAGATCCCAACACCCGCCTGATAGCTTATAACCAACCATTGCTAATTTCAGTTTTGGGGGTCCATCACCCTTTCCTGGCCTCTGTGGGAACTGTAGGCACATGTAGGCAGCATACCCATACACATAAAAATAAAGAAAAATTTAAAGAAAAAGCACCCATGGATGGAGATACTTGGATCAGTGTGTAGTTTAGGATTTAATGCTTGAATTTTCCTTTCCTGTTGTGACATAGCAGCTTTCATAAAGGAGTAGACAGGTTTGGTAGATGGGTTTGAGGAGGGCAAGGGTAAAGACAAATGGTTACGATAGAGTTCACGTTTATCAGCAGTCTCGCTCATTTATATCAACAGTTGCTAATGTTAGTTTGACTGGATAATGTAAAAAATTGAATCTCTCTAAAAAGAAAATGTCTTGCTTTTAACAGGCAGTTGATGCCTCCACCAGCCTTTCCAGTGACTGGAATAAAAACAGAGTCTGATGAAAGGAATGGATCTGGGGCCTTGACAGGAAGCCATGGTGAGTAAAATGTGGCTGGGGGATGGGAGTGACTAAGTAGGGTGGTCGTAAGCTATTAGTTTTCTAACCTAATGGTCATTCAGATTTAATCCTACCTCTATAATCTACTGGCTAATAATATCTTTTTTTAATTTATAAGGACAGTATATAGCTTTATTTTTAACTATTCTGTGTCAGGAATAGAGTTGCTTGATTTATTTATTATTTTTATACATATCATCAGTGTTATTAAAATCCTATGAAATACAATGATTGTTGCTCATGTTGTCTGACTGGAGGTCATCTGATACAGATTTAGGGAAAGTTAACTTGTTTTTGTGTCGGGGGTGCTGAGCCCATCACCTAGTAGCATTCCGGAACTCTTCATCCTGGGCATGAGATCATTTGTGTTCCTTGCCTCCAGTTGATAAAAATGAGCAGGGGAAGAAATTAGTTTTTTCTTTTCTTCTTTTCTTTTAGCTCTTTAAGAGGTGAAATGTTAGTCCTCAGAGACTCACTTGCTAACTTTCCTTTTTTTTTTTCTTTCTTTTTTTTTTTTCTTTTTTTTCTTTTTTCTTTCTCTGTTTTCTTACATGGTTCTGGTGGATTCTCATTTGCTGGTGCTGGCTGTTTTTCGTGTGATCATCAACGTTTTGGGGTGACCCAAATTGACCCTGTGACTACAAAATGGTGTCCAACTAACCACTTACAATTAACATCTTTTTTTTAATTAACGAATTTATGGTGTTTTTTTTTCTTGGTGGGGAATGGGGTTGGGTTGTTCTCTCTTCTAGATTACCCAGCCAAGAAGATGAAAACGGCCGAGAAGGGACTGGGCTTAGTAGCTTACGCTGCAGACTCCTCTGATGAAGAGGAGGAACATGGAGGCCATAAAAATGCAAGTAGCTTTCCACAGGGCTGGAGTTTGGGCTATCAGTACCCTTCATCGCAGCCAAGAGCCAAGCAGCAGATGCCGTTCTGGATGGCCCCATAAGAAACAGTGGGCAGATGATGCTCGGTGACTCTTCTTAGCAATAATGCATGCACTTGATTAAACAAGACTCTGGGACCTGTTCTGGGGGCCGTCTTGGACCTTGAAGAAGTTAGGGACACAGTGTCCTCTGTCATAAAGGGACGCCATTCTTTTTAAAACCCTATTTCTGCAGTGGCATAATATCCGTTAAAACTCACTTAGAACCACAAATTTGCGTCAAGCTTTTTAACAGTTGATGAAATGTGCTTGTCCAGAGAAACATCAGGACTGAGTCATTGCCACATATGTCTGACCTGGTCTAGCCTTTTCCAAATGAATAGCCTCAACTATGTTGTAAAGAAAGTTTTATTTGTATTTTACTACTATTGGATCAATTTTGATAATAACTGGTTACAAACAAAGCCTTACTATTTATTAGTGGGAAATGGTTTTAAGACCCTTCCTTCCAGTACTTACATTGAATTCTAAGAGCTCCTCATCCCTCTTTCCATTTGGATTCTTTCTGTTTGGAAAATGCTGTTGTACTAATTTAAATGGTCAGGTGCACCTGGATCCGGAATAGGAAATGGTTATTTTCCCGTTGTTCTTCACTGGGATGATCCAGAGTTGGCACCTTTTGGCACACTTGTTCCAGGTGGCCATTGCTATTTTACTGCCCTCCTAAGCTCCTTGTTTTCAGCTGGGTCAAAGAAAACGTGACTAAAAGCTGGTCAGAGCTGTTCAGAACTCAGTACAGAAGTGAAACACAGTTATCTGTCTCTTTCTGAACCGCTTGCCGCAAAAATAGAGATTTGATAACTCCGGTGGGATGGTGGACTCCGACTGGAATTGCAACTTGTCCTTTTTCTTGGCATTGCAGGTTTTGCCAAAAGAACTTTTTTTGTATCAAATATTGATGTGTGGAAGTGAAGGAACTGGTTGCTGAGCTAGAAGTGGGTTAAATATGTGTGGAAGTGAAGGAATTGGTTGGTGGCTGGCTGAGCCAGGAGTGTCTGAGATACTGTCATTTTTGCACATTTTTGAATACTTTGGAGGCTGGCTTTGTACAAACTTATTCTCTGGTTTCCTCTGTGTTGTAAATAATTAGACCATAATTTCATTATAAATAAATGTATAAATATTCTGCTTGTCATTTCTTTTTCTTCTGCAGCTCATTCATACACTAATATCAATAAACTTTTTTAAGTTATTTATTATTTATTTTTATGTGCATTGTTGTTTTGCCTGCATGTATGTCTCTGTGAGGGTATTGGGTTCCCTGGAGCTAGTTACAGATAATTGTGAGCTGCCATGTGGGTGCTGGGAATTGAACCCAGGTCCTCTGGAAGAGCAGCCAGTGCTCTTAACCTTTGAGCCATCTCTCTAGCCCCTCCATAAACTTCTTTATTCATAGCATCATGCAATTACATCCCTACCCAACAAAAACTTAACAGTCTCCAATATTTGCTTATACTCCTTGAGTTTATAACTCTGCAAAGTATATCCTTAGAGTCAGACAGTTCTGAGCTGCCATGTGGGTGCTGGGAATTGAACTCAGGTCCTCTGGAAGAGCAGCCAGTGCTCTTAATGGCTGAGCCATCTTTTCAGTCCCTGTTTTATTTTCTGCTTTGTGCTTTTGGCAATTGAACCCAGAACTTTGTGTCCGTGCTACTGTTCTGCCACTGAGATACATCCCAGCCCTCCTCCACTTGGGAATTTTGGAGACTGGGTCTGGTTATTTAGCGCTGGCTGCCCTGGATCCGATGTGTAGACTAGACAGACATTGAGAGCGCCTTCTGCCTCTGTCTACAGAGTATTGGTTTTCTAGGCCTGTTACCATGTCTGGCTATCTAGCTTTTTCTTTTTTTAAAAAAATTTATTTTGAAGGCTGAGCATGGTGGCAGATCTGAGTTCAAGGCTAGTCTGGTCTACATAGTTCTAGCACAGCCAGGGCTATGTAGAGAGACCCTATCTTAAACAAACAAATAAAAATATTTTGAGACAGCATTTCTCAGTTACTATTCTATTGCTGTGAAGATGCACCATGACCAAGGCAACTCTTATTTAAAAAAAAAAAAACCAAAAAACATTTAACTGGGGGTTTGCTTACAGTGTTAGTCCATGAAATCATGTCTGGAAGCAGACAGGCATGGTGCTCGAACAGTAGGTCTACTACTGATTCCCAAACAGTTCCACTAACCAGGCACAAGGCATTCAAACATGAGCCTATGGAGGCATTCTCATTTAAACTACCAGCACAGGGTCTTAACAAATTGCTGAGACTCCTTGAACTTGTCACCCTTCTCGACTCCTAGAGTAGGTTGGAGGATAGCTGTTTAACATCACACCCTGTTCTTTAAAAGCTGCAGTAGAGTATGAGGGCACATATCCCAGAACTCAGGTGCTGGAGACGGGGAGATTTTGAATTTGAGGTTAGCCTGGGCTACATGAGATTGATTGAGACACTCAATATAAGACAATACTGAACTTGGAAGACTGAAGCAGGATTGCTATGGTTTTGAGGTCAGCCTGGGCTGTAAAGGACCCTTAATGGTCCTTTCTGCCCCCTCCTGATCTTCCCTTAGCACTGGTATACCAAGGAATTGGAGGCAGCTTAAACTGCACACCTGAGAGCTTAATTAGCTAGCCTTACTAGTATTAGGATAAGGTGTTTAGGTGGCAGGAAGAATTTTGAATTCTTAGATGTAGGTTCAATTCCTATTATCCTAGAAATAAAAGGATTTAAACCTTACCATAATTAACTATCATCACTCAGCTACTAAAAAATAACAACCTACCCTTAGCTACTCTAATAGCAGTTATAGTCCTAATTAACCTATTCTTTTACACACTTAACACTTTCCCAACAAACAACTCCAAAATACTTATTCAACACACCAAATCAAAAAAGGAGGAAATTTTTTCATAGAAGGTTTATCTGTTGGTCATAAGGAAATCGTGGGTAGGATCCTCGAATCTACCCCCGTTCCAGCAGAAAAGAAGAGAAGTGGAGATTGCAAGCATAATGCAGTAAAGTTTTGCTGTATGTGATGAGTGGAGTGGATGAAAATAGTGCCCAGTTCGTGCTGGATCTTTTATTTATGAGACTGGTTCTCACTGTGTAGCCTTTACTGGCCTGGAATTCTTGAGACTTGCTTTTTTTTGTTTTGTTTTGTTTTTTGTTTTTCGAGACAAGGTTTCTCTGTGCAGCTTTGCATCTTTCCTGGAACTCACTTTGGAGACCAGGCTGGCCTCGAACTCAGAGATCCACCTGGCTCTGCCTCCCGAGTGCTGGGATTAAAGGCGTGCGCCACCACCGCCCGGCGAGACTTGCTTTTTATTTACGTTTTATTTTGTTTTTGTTTTTTGGTTGTTTTGTTTTGTTTTGTTTGAGATAGGGTTTCTCTGTGTAGCCCTGGCTGTCCTGGAACTCACTCTGTAGACCAGGTTGACCTTGAACTCAGATTCGTCTGTTTCTGCCCCAATTGCTGGGATTAAAGGCATAATCCCCCACACCTGATCTGCTTTTTAAAAAAATATATTTTATTTGTGTGTATGTATGTTTTGCCTGCATGTAAATATGTGCACCACCTGCATGCCTGGGGCCTGCCAGCGGACCTAAGGGGGTGGTGGATGCGCTGAAATGCGGTATGAATGGTTGTGAGCTACCGTTCAGGTGCTAGAAATTAAATTCAGATCCTATGCAAAAGCAACAGGTGCTTTAACTACTGATAATCTCTCCAGAGATCTGCTTTTAAGATAGAGTCTCGTGCAGCCCAGGTAATGTGGAACTTAATATGTAAAAAGACTGACCTTTGATCTGCTTCCTGCCAACACCACCTCTCATGCTGGGTTTATAGACATGTGCCATCATACCTGGCTTTTATCTGTCTTAATATTTTTGAAATACAGTACTCCAACTAGAATAACTGGGTGCTAAGAACATCTGGTCTTGGTTCCAAGAACTCTAGATGTGACAACTTTTTTGGAAAAAGAAAAACCGCTATGTAGCAATTACCATACTTACCCTAAATGAAATCCTGTATTTTGGTAAGAATGAGGAAATGCGGGTGTTTTTGCTGTACACCTGGTGACAGATTTTCTTTCCCCCTAAGTTACTCACTTTAAAGGTTTCTGTTTCGGTTAGTGGAACACCCATTTTATGTACGTACAAGCCTTGAGAAATAGTACGTGACCAGAGGGCTTTGCGAGTCAGAACTAGGCGTGGGGTGGAACAGTGTCTGTCGGCTGTGGGCGGGGCTCCAGCGTCACGCCCCGCCCACCGGCGCCATCTTCCTGGACCCGGGCGGGGCACTGGGCTGTGCGTCGCCGCTCGGGAAGGAACGCGGGCTGCAACCCGGACTCAGCACTGACTTCAGAGGTACAGGTGAGTAGGGACGGGGCTTGAGGGGTGGGGTGGCAACCGGGAGAAGACCTGACGGTGCCAGGCAGCCAGCCCTCAGCACTCATCCGGCTCCTTCCTCACTGCTACACTGCCTCAATCTGAAGAGAAGTCCAAGTTCTCTTTGATTTTTCTGGAAAAAGTAAGTTTAGAAATCTATGATGTGTTTTAGGACTGATAGCAACGGGGGAGGGAAAAGACATGGGTTTCTCAGTGTTCCGCAATGAGCAGGGTAGGCCGCGGTGTTTGGGGAGGCTGAGGCTCCTAGACTGTGGCGAGCGTCTCCATCCTGAATTGAGTGTTTTGTGCCTTCTCTAGGAGGCCTTTCCCAGGGGCCCAGGACTGCTCAAGAGGACAATGGATTCTGGAGCTCGCCCAGTTGGTGGCGGCTGTAGCAGCCCTGCAGCGCTATCACGGGAATACAAACTAGTGATGCTGGGCGCTGGTGGCGTTGGGAAGAGTGGTAGGTAACCTTTTCCACGGGACAGCAAAGTTTGCAGAGCGCCTGAGGGACCAGTCCCCAGGCCAGACGGGTGCAGCCTCTTGTGCACAGTTGGTAGTTGACGTACTTGATGGTCACCGTCCTGAGTTCCGTTTCTTGTTTTGAAGCCATGACAATGCAGTTCATCAGCCACCGATTCCCAGAAGACCATGACCCCACCATTGGTAAGTCGGATCCTCATTTTTATTTCCAGGTACGTCCTGTGAAAGTATCTCAATAGATTAACGTGTTTGTGTATGTGGTTCTTACTTACTTAGACACAAGGATAAACAGTTGAGTATTTTTTCCCGAGACTTCACATGTACATATGCGCCATCCTTAGTCCTCAGGTTAGGTTGAGTGTTAATAGACGACCTGTCTTTTTTAGTGGATGTATTCTGTATTGTTAGATTAAAGGCACGGCTACAGGCTACTCGACGAAACCTTTTCTTGCTATCACTTCTAAGGGTCTGACAAGAGACTGTCCCTGTTAGTATGAGTCAGCTGATTTGAACTTCCACAAAAGGAAGCAGAAAAACACGTAGAGCCAGCCTGCTGAACTCTTAGAGCAGACTTCCACTGGAAGCTCTCCGTTTATTTCCTTATCCCTGCAGCTCATTACATAGCAACGTCTTCTTTGTCTTTGTAATCTTTGGCTGTCAAATGTTGGTAGAGTGCCAATAGAGTAAATCAGTCCTTTTTTTTTTTTTTTTTTTTTTTACACTGGGGATTGAACCTGAGACTTCAAACCAAGCTTACCGGGCAAGGCTTCTACCACTGTGCTGTATCCCCAGCTTGGTTTGTGTTGTTTGTTTTAAGTTGTATTGTTTTCTTTTGATTAAAGGTTGAGCCCAAGTTAGCCTTGAACACATGGCACTCCCTTTGCCTTAGTCTGGGATTGCAGGCATGAGCCACCATGCCCAGTTCTATAGTGTGTGGGTTGTATTGTTGTTGTTATTAATTGCTATTTTCTGTGGATTAAGAATGTTCCTCACCCCTAAATCATAAGGAAGCAGTTTTGGTTTGTTTGTTTGTGTTTTTTTTGTTGTTGTTGTTTTGAGACAGGGTTACTCTGTGTAGCCCTGGCCGTCCTGGAACTCACTCTGTAGACCAGGCAGACCTCGAACTCGGAGATCCGCCTACCTCTGCTGCAATTAAAGGTGTGTGCCGCCACCACCACCCAGCAGCAGTTCGCTTCTGAGTGATTAGATAAAGGAAAAGTAGGGCTGAGGAGGGACCAAAGCTCCGCCATTAGCTGGGAGTGATGGCACACATCTGTAATCCCAGCATGAAGCAAAGGCAAGAGGAATGTAGATTCATCACCAGTCTGGGTTGCATAGAGTTCTAGGCCGGCCAAGAAAACTGGTGAGATCCTCTGTCAAAAGCAAAACAAAAGCCTGCCCTTCCGTGGCTGTGGTCATTTTATTTAACATCTGCTTCTGTGGGTTTGGGGAAAATGGGAACACTTGTCTTGTCAGTGTATGGGAGTTGTTATTTTTTGTGCTTAGGGGTCAGGCTAAGTACATGCTGTACCACCCACCGAGTTGCATCCTAGCTCTGCTATATCAACTTTAGAACATTGTTTCAGACTTTGAACCGGTGCTGTGGGAACTCCGAATAAAGTCAGTCAGTTCAGGGTTTAGGGTTATTTACTTAGTTCCAAGCTGTAGCTCCAGGCCACCCACCCATGGCCTCCAGCGCAGAGCCCAAGTTCAGAGTTGTCTCAGTTCTCGTGATGCTTCACTACAGAAACATTGCCTGTGCTCGGTGGCCAGGCGGGGTCAGTGTCTGTCCTCCGCCTGGCAGGATGTATTTGCCACCCCTGCCTTCCTGCACTGCTGGCTCCTGAGTGTGGGAAGCCTGCCTGACAGCCTACCACACCCACCTCGTTATTCTGCCCTTGTTTGTGGTGAGAACCAGCCACACCTAGAGATTGGCTAGAAAATGTCACATGATACCTCAGTTGGGCTGGGAACTGAGACCCTGAGCCCAGGCCTCAGGGTCTAGTGGCCCATGTCCTAACTTCATTCTTTTGTAGGAGGGTAGATATGTTCCTACACCTTCTTTATTCTCCTCTGTAGGTTTTTAGAACTATCAAAATAGGCAAAATTTTCTTTTGTCATATCCATGATGCTGTCTGTGTTACTGTCCTGTGTTATAATCCTGACCAACTGCCCAGAGCTCATCTCTACTTGGTTCACGAGTGCCACTGATGGTCTTTGATTTTAACATGGCAGTTAATGTGTAGTATAGTTTAGTTTACTGACCGTCACACGTTTGAGATGTGAGCTGCACAAACCGTAGGAACAAACTGGGATGGATCTGTGAAGTGGCCATTGAAGAAGGCAGTGTGACTCTGGAACTTACTTTAGGGAAGAGAGTTACTTTAGGGCCCTGAGGCTGAGGGGCATGCACCGTCTGAAACTTGAAGAAGGAAATCCAACTTTTCCCAGGCCTCCTTCGCTGAAAACAAAAATCTACAGCTATTACCACCACCTTAGCATTGGTGGAAAGGTGCTTTCCCCAAAAGCCTGGTGACCTGAATTTCTTCAAAGCCCATGTAAAGGTGTGAGGAGAGACCTGACTCTACAAAGGTGTCTTCTTGATCTCTACACACACACACACACAACACACACACACAGAGTCATGCACATACATAATAATATAAATAATCTTTAAACAAAATAAAAACCAAAAGAACTCCAGAAGCAATCCCTTATTTCTTTTGTATTTAATTTTTTTGTAAGTGATGTTAAACACTATTTGTTGTGCTTGGGGTTGAACCCAGGACCTTGGGCATGCTAGACAAGCACGTGACTATCATGCTACATCCCCAGCTCTCTTATTTTTAATGTAAACCTCACACTTTTTCCATCCCAAGAAGATTTCATTGGTTTGTCTGCAGGGTTGTGCATTGAATTCAAGGCCTTATGTATATTCTGCAAATACCCGACTGTAGATCTATACCCACTGCCTCATAAACTGCCTTTTTAAAAAAGATTTATTTTTATTTTATGGTTATGGATGTTTTCCTGTATGTGTGTCTGCGCATCACAGTTGCCTGGTGCCTGCAGAGGCAGAAGAAGGGCTTTGGATCCCATGGAACTGGAGTTAAAGTTGTGAGCTCTCATGTGGGTGCTGTGAGCCAAACCCAGGTCATCTGCAGGAGCCATAAATCAGTACATTTTTACCCTATTCTGCTGCTCTCTGACAGTATTGTATGATTCAGCAGCAAATGCTCATGTGTCTTGAGCACTGTAAATGTGTATATGTGTATACTTAAATAAGAAGAGATTTCTTGTCCCAACCACCTGCTCCCAAATAACTGGCAGCCATTTCCCAAATAACCAACTCAGAGACTTAATATAAATTATAAATGCTCAGGCAATAGCTCAGGCTTGTTACTAACTAGTTCTTACAACTTAACCAATTTCTATTCATCTGTGTGCTGCCCTGACGCTTGTGGTGTTTACCTTTATCCCATTTTGTATGTCCGACTTATTCTCCATCTGGCCCAAGACGTCTCTGACTCTACCCTTCCTCATCCCATCATTCTGTTCGGCTCTCCCACCTAACTTTTTCCTGTTCAGCTATTGGCCAGTCAGCTTGTTTATTAAACCAATCACAGCAACATATATTCACACAGTGTACAAAAGGATTGTTCCACAGCATACGAACACATAAGCACATATATATATATATATGTATATATATATATATGTGACTGAAATTAAAATCTGATGTTGGGGACCTGTGAGATGGCTCAGACAGTAAAGGCACCTGTCACCAAGTCTAACCTGAGTTTGGTCCCAGTACCTCACATGATGGAAGGAAAGGAGCAATCCCTGCAGGTCCTCTCACCCCCGTCGCCATGCTGTGTCAAGGGCTGGCAAGTTTGCTCACCAGGTGCTTACTGCCCAGCCCTAATAACGTGAGTTCCATCCTCGGGTCTCACATGGTGGAAAGAGAGGACCAGCACTTGAAAGTTGGCCTCGGAGCTTCCCATGCGCTGGGTGGCGTTTGTGCGCCCACGTGTACACAGAACCCATTAAATAATGTAATGTAAGCCGGGCGGCGGCGGCGGCGGCGGCGGCGGCGGCGGCGGCGGCGGCGGCGGCGCACGCCTTTAATCCCAGCACTCGGGAGGCAGAGCCAGGCGGATCTCTGTGAGTTCGAGGCCAGCCTGGGCTACAGAGTGAGTCCCAGGAAAGGCACCAAAACTACACAGAGAAACCCTGTCTCGAAAAACCAAAAAAAAGAAAAAAGAAAAAATATGTAATTTTATAATGTTAAGAGGAAATATCTTGGGATGCATGTGGCTGGTTTTTTGGTTTATCTCTGTGTAGCCCTGGCTGTCCTGGAACTTGCTCTGTACACCAGGCTGGCCTTGAACTCAGAGATCTGCCTGCCTCTTCCTCCCGAGTTCTAGGATTAAAGCCTTGTATCACCATGTGTGGCAGTTATTTTTTTTTTACAGATTTATTTATTTATTATGTATACAGTGTTCTGTTTGCATGTATGTATGCATGCAAGAAGAGGGTACCAGATCTCACTACAGGTGGTTGTGAGCCATCATGTGGTTACTGGGGATTGAACTCAGGACCTCTGGAAGAGCAGCCAATGCTCTTAACCTCTGAGCCATCTCTCCAGCACCCAGTTAATTTTAAGTGATGAAAATATTGAATGGGCTTTTTTTTTCTCTCTTTTACTTTTCTGTATTTTCCAAGATTAGTATACATCTACATTAAAGAAGGTAGGTGTGCTAGCAGGCACCTATAGTCCCAGTACTTGGAAGTCTGAGGCAGTAGGATCTCTTGGCACCAGGAGTTCAAGGCCAGCTGGAAAACATAGAGACCTCGTTTCTTTATGTTTTGGTAGTGGGTAGTATTTAGGGTAAGAGTTGAGTCAGGATCTCATGTAGATCAGACTGGCCTTGATCGACTATGTAGCTGAGGATGACTTTGAACTCTTGACTCTGCTCCTTCACTTCCTAAGTCCTAGGGTTATAGCCTTACACAACTCTACCTAACTTCCAACTCTGTTGTGGGTCATGCCTGAAATCTTATCTGCTGAGGAAGGATGTAAGTATAAGGGCTAGATTGGACAATTTATTTAAGACCCTGTCTCAAAAATAAAACATATCTGGGCTGGAGGCCACAGGCCTGAGTGTTTTTTTAGTTCCTGGGGCAGGAGGGTCACAAATTCAAGGACTACCTGGTCTACAGACTGAGTTCAAGACTAGCCTGATCAACTTAATGAGACCTCTCAAAAGTAAAAAGAACCTGGCATAGTGGCTCTCACCTGTATTCTCAGCATTTAGGAGGCCAAGGCAAGAGGATGACCACACACTAAAGACTGGACAGGGCTCCAGGGTGAAACCCTGTCGCAGAGCAAAGCAAAGTGAGAAAGAGGTGCCTATATATCAAAGTGGTAGAGCGCTTGTCTCTCAGAGCCATTACATTCTGTCTTCATGCTTTAAGGAAGAAAAAGTATTAGGAGGCAGGAGCAGGCAGATTTCTGTGAGTTCCAGGCCAGCCTGGTATATGTATCAAGTTGGCCAACCAGGGATACATAGTAAGACTCTATCTCAAAAACAAAAAATAAACAACAAAAAAGTAATAAGTTAAAATTTTTTAAACAGGGTTAAAGATATTTCATGCTTGCATCACATGCTTAAAACCTAGAGTTTATTCCCAGTATTACAACTAACAGTAATATGCAGAAAAGAACTTGGTTTTGACATGAAGGGATTAGGATATTTTCTAGAAAATAGTAAAGTTGTGAGGGATACTTCATAGTACACCAGCTGTTCTTGCAGGGTCCCAGATTCGGTTTCCTACACCAACATGACAGCTCACAACCATCTATAACTCTGTTCCGGGGGATCTGATGCCCTCTTCTGACCTCTCTGGGCATCAAACACACACATAGTACACTTTCAGCCAAAGCACTCATATGCATAAAACAAAAATATGTAAGTCTTTACAGAGTGTCTGGGCATGGGGACTCCAACCTTTAAAACCAGCACTCTGGGCTGAGCTATAAAGGAGAACTGTAGCATATGCTGTGCACATGGCCCCAAATTTGAGTCAGTAGCCCTGGGTTTAATCTTGGCTCCATCACCAATTAACTGCAGTTTAAAGAAGACATCAGCCTTTTATTTTTTAAGTTTTTTTTCTTTTCTAAGACAGTCTCACCTGTAACTCTAGTTGCCCTCAAACTCTCAGAGATCTCCCTGATCTCAGAGATCTGCCTGCCTCTGCGCCTTGCCTGCCCCCCCCCCCCCCCCCCCCCCCCGTGGGATTAAGGATGTGTGCCACCATACCTTGCCTACCTTCTTTTGCTGTAAAATGGAAATAATAATACTGGGTAAATATTGGATTATTGTGACTATTAAGTAATTTCATGTATACAATTTACTTAGCCTAATGCCTTACATATACTTTAATAAATGATAGTTGGGACTAAAAGCATGCACCACTACGCTCAGCAGTTAAAATCTTCCTTTAGTGTGTGCATGGTGTGTGTGTGTGTGTGTGTGTGTGTGTGTGTATATGCCACAGCACATGTTTGAAAGTCAACGGAAAGTGTTGAGGGTTCTGTGCTGTCCTAGTTTTGTGTGGGTTCCAGGATTCTAACTCAAGTTGCCAGGTAGGCTTTGCTGAGCACTGCCAGCTGAGCCAATTCCTCTGGCCCCTGGTGTAATGTTTTAAAAGAAATTCTTTCAGAATTCTTGTGGTTTGAATAAGAATGACACCCACAGGTTCATGTATTTGAATGCTTAGTCACAAGGGAGTGGAACCATTTGAAAGGATTAGAAGGATTAGGAGGCGTGGCCTTGTTGGAAGAAGTGTGTCACTGAGGGTGAGCTTTGAGGTTTCAGAAGCCCTTGGCAGGCCCAGTCTCTGCTCTCTCTCTCTCTGCCTGTGCATCAGGATGTAGCTCTTAGCTACTGCTCTAACACCATGCATGCCATCGTGCTCCCTGCCATGGTAATAGCAGACTAACCCCCTGAGACTGTAAGCAAGCTCCCAATTAAATGTGTTCTTTCATCAGAGCCTTGGTTGTGTCTCCTCACAGCAACAGCACAGTGACCAAGACAATCCTTTTCTTTCTTTTTCTTAAATATTTATTTTATCTGTATGTGTGATTTGCCTGCATGTATGTTTTCTTTCTCTTTCTTTCTTTCTTTCTTTCTTTCTTTCTTTCTTTCTTTCTTTCTTTCTTTCTTTCTTTCCTTCCTCCCTCCCTCCCTCCCTCCCTCCCTCCCTCCCTCCCTCCCTCCCTCCCTCCCTCCCTTCCTTCTTTCTTTCTTTCTTTCTTTCTTTCTTTCTTTCTTTCTTTCTTTCTTTCACAGCATCTCCCTCGGTAGCTGTAGCTGATCTGACCTAGAACATAGACAAAGTTGGCCTGGAACTCAAAGAGATCCTTCTGCCTCTGCTTCTCAAATGCTCAGAATTAACTTCTAGGTTTAGGTTTATAGCTGTGAACATGACCATGCTGGGTAGTGGTGCACGCTTTAAATCCCAGTACTTGGGAGGCAGAGGCAGATGATCTCTGTGAGTTTGAGGCCAGCCTGGTTTATAGAGCTAATTTTCGGACAACCAAGGCTACACAAAGAAACTCTGTCTCAGAAAAACAAAACAAAAACAAAAAGATACATGACCACCCATGAACAAAGGAAAACATTATTGTATACACTAATCTATATATTTTGATGAATTTACAGCATCCTGAGAAAGTTAAGCACATAAAAACAACCTAGGGGCCAGTGAGATGGCTCAACAGGTAAAGAGTTGCCCTACTAGCCTTGTGACCTGATTTCCATCCCTAGACTGCAGATAAAGGTATAAGGAAAAGGCTGACTTCATAAAGTTGACCCTTGGCTTTCACATGCATGTACATACACACACATACCATGCACACACATACACGCCACTAATAATAACATTTTAAAAAGAAATTGGTGGGCTGGGGAGATGGCTTGGGGGTTAGAGCATAAGCTAGAAGCAGATTGCATTTCAGATCCCCAGAATACAGGTAATTCCAGCCTCCAAAGTCAGAGACAGAGGCTTCAGTGAGCAAGCTGCCTAGTGAGACCCAACACTAACCCTGGGTCTCCACACACATGCACTTGCACACATACGAGCATTCATACGTTTACATGTGTGCATACCACACACATGAAAAGCAAATGAAAAAACATGAAGCCTGGGAATATAGCTCAGTGGTAGAACACTACCTGACATTTGAACCCTGGATTGGAGGTCTGGCTCTACCAAAATAAGTAAGTACATAAATAAATAAGTAAATACATAAAATTGGGTGGGACCGCTGCTTTTGTGGGACGGGTTTTCAGACCCTTGCTTCTTCCCACACGTGTGTCCTTCCCTCCTGTAGAAGACGCGTATAAGATCCGGATCCGCATCGATGACGAGCCTGCCAACCTGGACATTCTGGATACAGCTGGACAGGTACTAAAGCCCAGAACCTCCAGGAAGGGGGGCAGCCTTCTGCCGACAGTATCAATAGTTTGTCTCTGTTAGTTTTTCACGCGCTGCCTCAGGACGGCAGGTAATAGACATGCTGTTTCTTCAAAGTGGCCAGGGTGTGTGCTGGCCCAGGTTGCAGCAATGCATTGTGGGCCTCTGTTTCCCTCCAGGCGGAGTTCACAGCCATGCGGGATCAGTATATGAGGGCAGGAGAAGGGTTTATCATCTGTTACTCGATCACGGACCGTCGAAGTTTCCATGAAGTTCGGGAGTTTAAACAACTGATTTACCGCGTCCGACGCACTGATGACACACCCGTGGTTCTCGTGGGAAACAAGTCCGACCTGAAGCAGCTGAGACAGGTGAGAAGGAAGGCCGGTAACGGCCTGGGTGGTCACTGGTTCCGTGAAGATGGCTTTGCCTTCAAATAGAAAGTGACAATTAGCCTCTCCCTAGCTTTGGAAATGTCCCTCTAGCTATTAATTTCCTGTTATTCTAGGTAAAATCTGGATTTTTAGAAATCAGTGCACAGGATTTTAGACACATAATAAGCTATCTGTGTCTTATACCTGTAAGCTAAATATTTAACAGGCTTGGCACGAGGATCGCCATACATTTGAGGCCAGCCTAGGCTGTGTAGACCTAGGCTCAGCCCTTCAGTCGATTAACAAACAAAGAGATGCCAATAGAATACTCATTAAGTAAAGAATCATGGAGCTGTTAGTTTCCTAAATCTTCAGAAATGATGTTTGGATGTGGTTTAGTTGGTAGAGCCTAGATACACAGGGGCCTGGGTTCAATCCACAATACCGCAAAAAAAAAAAAAAAATTTTTTTAATTTATTTGTTTTTATTTTATGTGCATTGGTGTTTTGCCTACATGTGTGTCTGTGTGAGGGTGGCAGGTCAGTGAAGGACAGTTGTGAGTGGCCATGCGGGTGCTGGGAATTGAACCCGGGTCCTCTGGAGGAACAGCCAGTGCTCCCAACCACTGAGCCATCTCTCCAACCCCCACTGCAAAAAAAATTTAAAAGTAGCTTTTATTAACAAGAGGTCTCAGTAGTAAAGGCGTTTGCTTGCCTTGTAAACCCAGTGGCTAACCTGAATCCTTAAAATCCACATAAAGATAAAAGAGAATCAATTCCACAAAGTTGTCTGTTGATTTTCACACATGTGCTTGGGGGCATTCAGGCCTCACACACATATTGTACACACATACACACAAATAAATAAGAACTTTAAAAATAATAAAATTAGGCTGGGCAGCGGTGGCGCATGCCTCTAATCCCAGCACTCGGGAGGCAGAGGCAAACAGATCTCTGTGAGTTCGAGGTCAACCTGGTTTACAGAGCGAGATCCAGGACAGGCACCAAAACTACATAGAGAAACCCTATCTTGAAAAAACCAATAAAATAAAATAAAACTAATTAAAACTTCAGGTTGGAGAGCTAACTAAACATTTAAGAACACCAACTGCTCTTGCAGAGAACTCATGCTCCATTCCCAGTACCCACGTGGTGTGGCTCAGAACCATCTGTACCCCCAGTTCCAGGGGATCTGATACCTCTGGCCTCCAAGGGCATCAGGCACGTACATAGTACACAGACATACATATATGCAAAGCAGCCATACACATAAAATAATCATAATCTAAAATATAAATAAGGCTGGGCGGTGGTGGCGCACACCTTTAATCCCAGCACTCGGGAGGCAGAGGCAGGTGGATCTCTGAGTTAGAGGCCAGCCTGGTCTACAAAGTGAGTTCCCGGATAGTCAGGGCTACCCAGAGAAACCCTGTCTCAAAAAACAAACAAACAAACAAAAAAAGCAAAAGTATAAAGAAAACTATCATTATCAATATCTGTATTTACTTGATATTGCTTGATATCTGTTCCCAAAAAGTTACCTTGAAAGGGAACTCAGTTTAGTCAGGAAAGTGATTGTAAGAGGGCCTGAGTTCAGTTTTGGGGCTTTTTTGTTGTTGTTGTTGTTCGTTCGGTTTTTCGAGACAAGGTTTCTCTATGTAGCCCTGGCTATCCTGGAACTCACTCTGTAGACCAGGCTTGAACTCACAGAGATCCACCTGCCTCTGCCTCCTGAGTGAGGGATTAAAGCTGTGCATCACCAGTGCCCTGCTGGGTTTTAGTTTTTTGTTAGTTTTTAAAGCCAGGCATGGTGGTGTGTGCTTATAATCCAGCACTGGGGAGATGGAAACAGGCAGAACTCTGGGGTTTGCCAGCGTGGCAAGCGCCGGGCCCATGAGAGACCTTGTCTCAGAACAGAAGAAAGGTGGGCGGATGTGTAGTTCAGTTGGTAGAGTGTCTGCTTAACATGCAGGAAGCTGGGTGTGAGACAGAGGCAGATGGAGCTCTGAGTTTGAGACTAGCCTGATCTACAAAACAAAGTTCCTGGGCAGCTGGGGCTACACAGAGAAACCCTGTCTTGAAAAAACAATTTAACAAAATTATGTGGGCCTTATCCCTAACACCGCATAAAACCAGGCATGGTGGCACATTCCTGTAATTCAGTCACTCTAGAGGTAGATGATGGAAGACTTGTAAGTTCAGAGTCATGCTTGGCTAGCCTGGACTACAAGAGACTCGGTCTTTTAAAAAAAGAAATCTGGAAAATACACTGGAAATGGAATCACGTGCTTTGGAGTCATGTAGTGCACTCCATGGCACGTCAGTCCCGCGGTCGGGGCTGTGTTCTCTGCTGCCCTCTCCAGCGGGGACCTCTGTCCTAGGGACACCCATACTCTTCCCCACAGCTGTCACTGCTGCCCGCTGTACACTATACACTTTCTCATGTTTGTGCCTTTGAAGGTCTCCAAGGAGGAGGGATTGTCTCTGGCGAGAGAATTCAGTTGTCCCTTTTTTGAGACCTCCGCTGCATATCGTTACTACATTGATGACGTCTTCCATGCTCTTGTACGGGAGATACGGAAGAAAGAAAAGGAGTTAGTGTTGGCCATGGAGAAAAAGTCTAAACCCAAAAGCAGCGTGTGGAAGAGGCTGAAGTCACCGTTCAGGAAGAAGAAAGACTCAGTAACTTGAGGGAAGTGTGAAGCGTGTTCTGTGAACTGCGGCGCTGCTCGGAGCAGTCCAGCAATCTGCAATAATGAGCATGCTGTTTGCTCCCTCTCCACTGTTCTAAATGTCACTGGTGAGGGGACATGTCCACTAGGAGTTTCCAATGATTCACTATTTAAAGCCCTGTCTTAGTTGACTCTGATTTATTAACCCATCAGAGCTCTGTCTGCTCCTTCATTGTCACATTAGAATTTGGTCTGCCATTGTTTTGGTTATGTTATTGATGTAAATTAGTTTGTGTAAATCGTTTATGCCCAGGAGACTGTGTATACCATGTGCACTTGACTGTGTTTACAAAAGGAGCTTTGTGCTGTATGCTCCTCGCCGACCTTCACCTTGAGACCCCCTGGCTCTGTCTCCCAGAAGGACCTCGGCCTTCTTTTCCCACACTGTACGTCTTGGAGACAGAGCAAAAACCGAATAGAGAAACTAATGCTAAAGAGATTGGTGCTAAAGGTGAGTCGGTGTCTGTGGAATGGACTCCTGTCGTCGATTATGGAGGGATGAGGTTTGGGGAGATACCGCTGTATCCACACAGAAGACGGCTGGAAACTTCCAGGGTCAGCAGAGTTCCCACAAGGAGCCTGAGAACTGCACATTTGACCAAAGGCACTCAGGAGGTAAAGAGAGCCAGAAGCAGAAACAGAATGGAGGTTTCTCCTTAACACACTTGACTCTTCCTCCGGGGTCTTGCCTTTCTTTACCTTTGAAGGCTGGCACTTTGAGAACAGCTTCTGGCTCTGGGACCATTACAAGATCTCGCGGTTCTTCTTTAAACCCTTGGTTGGGCGAGGCATGGTAGCCCGTTGCCGTATCCTTCTAAGGCTGAAGCAGGAGGATTGCCATGGGTTCGAGGCTAGCCTGGGCTACAGAATGAAAGCCTGTCTCAGAAAAACAAAACCAAAAATAAATAAATAAATAAGTAAATGAGTAAATAAATAAGTTCTTTCTTAGGACAGCTATACCACCTGCCTTATCCAGGTTTCTTTCCCCTTTGAAGAACTGGGCCTGTCTTCTTTAGACTGACGGGATTGTCCAAAGGGAAGAGGCATCAGGAGTTGGAGTAAAATTGTTAGGTGTTCCCTTGACCTCAGCAGTCACTGGACTCAGGGCTTGAAGGTCTGTGGTGTTTCTGTTTGATGGACCAGTCTTGAAGCTTAATTTAAGAGTCACATACGTAAATTGGTTTCATCATCTGAGGAGTTCCTCAGAGTTGTCAGTGCTCAGCCTTAGAGACTACCACTGCTCCCGAATGTGGTTGAGACACTAGTCTTGGAGGAAACAGCTTTAACCATTAGTGGTGAGCTCTCTGTCTTGGGGTCAGGATTATCTAGCTGTCTGGTGTGCTGTGTGAGACATGTTCAAGAGAGTCAGATCCTAATGTGGAGTGGTCACTCGAGGCTCAGGTGACACTGTTTCAAAGCTGCCACTCAGCTTCCTGCTCCCCCTGTTAAAGGAATGGCAGATGACCTAGCTCCCAGGAGGAGCCATTGCTGGGACTTTTATAATTTTGGGTAGTTGTCTTTTGAAAGTCCTAGTAACTTTTGCTACTATTCAGAATGTGTTTTTAATATGCAAGCCATCAAACAATGAAAGGCCCAAATTCAAGTCTATGCAGCCCACAACATTTCGGAGAAGCAACAAAATGGAGAGCAAATACAGCACCAGTCTCTTTGAACAGTATCTCACCTGGATAAGGACTTTCAGACTGAATGCCTTCGCTGCTTATTATTGATGATCTACGGGGCTGTCGTCAGTGCCAGGCAAGGAGTTGACAGCTACAGTGACTCAAGATTGTCATGGCAATAGAAAACATTGCCAGAAAGAAAGGCCTGGGCCGGGCGGTGGTGGCGCACGCCTTTAATCCCAGCACTCGGGAGGCAGAGCCAGGCGGATCTCTGTGAGTTCGAGGCCAGCCTGGTCTCCAAAGCGAGTACCAGGAAAGGCGCAAAGCTACACAGAGAAACCCTGTCTCGAAAAACCAAAAAAAAAAAAAAGAAAGGCCTGTACTGTAAGACAGGGAAGTTGCATTCTGTGCGAGGGGAGCAGCAGTGAGTGTTTTTAAGGCTATCCTGTGAGACATTTCATCCTAAGATGGTCCCTTAATTCCCATTGAGCATTGTATTCCTGGTGCTAGATAGCGGCAGGGGTGCAGTGTTGTGAGCTGGAGCACCTCCTCAGCTGCAGGGGTGCAGTGGTGTGAGCTGAAGTACCTCAGCTGCAGGGGTGCAGCGGTGTGAGCTGGAGCACCTCCTCAGCGGCAGGAGGAGTGCAGTGGTGTGAGCTGGAGCACCTCCTCAGCTGCAAGGGTGCAGCGGTGTGAGCTGGAGCACCTCCTCAGCTGCAGGGGTGCAGCGGTGTGAGCTGGAGCACCTCAGCGGCAAAGGTGCAGTGGTGTGAGCTGGAGCACCTCCTCAGCTGCAGGGGTGCAGCGGTGTGAGCAGGAGCACCTCAGCTGCAGGGGTGCAGCGGTGTGAGCTGGAGCACCTCCTCAGCGGCAGGAGGAGTGCAGTGGTGTGAGCTGGAGCACCTCCTCAGCACTCACAGAGTGAAGGTAACTCACAAGCTTTAGGTCATCAGTATTGTCCAACCTGAAGGCATGAAAATCAAGTATTCTCTGGAACTTGGAAGAGAAGATTCAGGAATAAGTTGAAAGGCACTGAAACTGTTTGTGTTGAAACAACATTAGTAATTACAACCTTCGGAAACTAGCACTAGAATTAGCTGTTTATAGTCAGTAGGGAGACATGTTTTCACTCTGATACATTAGCAAAGTGTTGTGTGTCACTTGGGAAGAAGTTCTTCACTGGTGCACTTGTATAGGAAGGCAGTTGTGCAGTACAATACAAGATCTTTAAACAATGTGTCGGGTGTTTTGGTTTTTGTTTGGAATCTTTAGAAGAAAAAGTACTTTTTAAAAGAACTTCTTACTAGCGCGATGAGTGCCTTCCAGTTTTTTGTGTGTGCGAGCGCACGTGCCATGGTACGTGTGTGAGTGTCGGAGACCGCCTTGTGGGAGTTGATTTTCTCCGTCCATCCTTTTGCAGGTCCCAGAGACTGAGCTCAGGTTTTCAGGGTTGGCAGCAAACCCCTTTTCCACTGAGCCGTCTCTACAACCCCTTCTTCTTTTGAAATGTCCCCTGCAGGCCACCCTTTGAGTCTCCATACTACTCCAGCTTCACTTTGGCAAGTGGTCTGTAGATTTAAGGACCTGGTTGCTTGAACTCCATCTCAGTGTTCAACTTCTGGGAACCAGACCCTCTAGCTAGTGTGACAGTGTCTTCCACTGAGACCTGAGAGGTGGCATCCAGGCAAAAGCCAGATGCTCTGAAGGAGGTTATAGAGGTCTGTTGCCACCCTCCATTCTGAGCAGCAGGTCGTCTAGTGCTTGGAGAGCGTCCTCCAGATCTTTTTCAGCAGCAGAGGCAGCTGGAATAGTACAGGGCAATTCCTCCTACTGACTCAAGGACACCTCTGAAAAGCAGAGCAGCATCATGGAAGATCACTGAAAAGCCTGAGCTGATCCTGAGCTGGAACAGCTAGTTCAGCCCACCACTGATAAAACCTATGAAGCCCTCATAAGGGCCCTTCCAGGTCAGAGAATTCAGATCCTAACTACTGAGGTGTACCTCAGGGTCCTAGCCGAGAACCTGGCTTCAGCCAGAATATCTTACACTTTCCCCTGATAGCAGTGCCACAGTCCAGGGAGAGGGTTCAGTGGGTAAAAGAGGCTGAAGGTGAAGCCATGCCTCTAACCTGAGTGTGATTCCACGGGTCCACCAGGAAGTTTTCCTCCTGTGCTGTGTCATGAGCCCTGCTCACACAAGATAAAAAATAATGTCAAAAACAAACAAATGAAAAAACCAGCCATCTTGTCCTGGGAGGATTCTCAGTGGCCCAAGACCCTTTGCCGATAGGCCTGAGGACCAGAGTTTTATCCCTGGGACCACACTATAGAAAGAACCTGTTGCTGCAAGTTGTCCTCCGACCTCCACAGGTGCACCGTGGCCCCGAGGCACACCCACCTGCAAGTGAGTAAATACACATTTTAAGTATCTTAGGGGAAGTTTTAATGGTATTAGGGCTCCGTTGTAGCTCAGTGGTAGAGCGAGTTACCCAGCACGTACAAAGTTCAGTCAGCATCTCTCCTCCCAAAATGTGAAATACCATCAAATTCCATGTTCTGGAAAATACTGACTCAAAAACCTGAAAATCCCTACCGTGTACAGAACACTCAAGTGTTAGCCCGTCTCCACAGAAGGACCCCTTTATTCGAAATGATTACATCTCTGAGGGGAAAGGGAAAACACCTCGGGTACTTAGAACCCGTGACCCTAGCATTCCAAAGGCTGAGCCAGGAAGGTTGTAAATTCGGGCCAGCCTGAGGAACATAGTGACTCCCTATCTTAAAAAAGGAAAGAGCCAGCTACAGTAGTACATATCTTTAATCCCAGCACTTGGGAGGCAGAGGGAGGTCTGTGAGTTCAAGGCCAGCCTGGTCTACAGATCGAGTTCCAGGACAGCCAGGACTGTTACACAGAGAAACCCTGCCTGGAAAAAAACCAATAAACAAACAAATAAATATAGAATGGTTCCTCGAATTTCATCATCTTAGCTGGAGCTAAAATTTAGGTGGCATAAGCTTAAGAGGAGTCACTCAAAATATTTGTTCTTTGATTAAAGATTATTCACTCTGCCCTCCAGACCTCTGAATGCCCTCACTGTACAAATTAATTTTATTTTCTCCCTACTAAGAATTATGAAATAGAGCCGGGCGGTGGTGGCGCACGCCTTTAATCCCAGCACTTGGGAGGCAGAGGCAGGCGGATCTTTGTGAGTTCGAGGCCAGCCTGGTCTAGAGAGCGAGATCCAGGAAAGGCGCAAAGCTGCACAGAGAAACCCTGTCTCGAAAAAAAAAAAAAAAAAAAAAAAAAAAAGAATTATGAAATTGGGGGCTGGAGAGATGGCTCATAGATTAAGAGCACTGGCTGTCCTTCCAGAGGTCCTGAGTTCAATTCCCAGCAACCACATGGTGGCTCACAACCATCTATAGTGAGATTTGGCGCCCTCTTCTGGCCTGCAGGCATACGTGCAGGCAGGACACTGTATACATAATAATTTTTTTTTTCATTTTTCTTAAGAAATTTTCTACTTACTCCACATGCTATCCACAGACCCCCCCTCCTCCCTCCTCCCACCCCCAGCCCTCTTTCCCAAGCCACCCCACATCCCCCAAATTGAGGTCTCCCATGGGGAGTCAGCAAAGCCCAGCACACTGAGCCTAGGCAGGTCCAAGCCACTTCCCACTGCACCAAGGCTGTGCAAGGTGTCACACCACAGGCACCGGATTCCAGATCCCGATCTCCCTGCCTGGGTGGCCCCCAAACAGTTTGAGCCAAACAACCGTCTTCCGTATCCAGAGGGCCTAGTCCAGTCCTATGGGGACTCCACAGCCACCAGTTCACAGTTCATGGGCTTCCACTAGTGTGGCTGGTCATCTCTGCACATCCTCCCATCATGATCTCAACGTCCCTCGCATGCAGAATCCCTCCTCTCTCTCATCAGTTGGATTCCTGGAGCTCAGCCTGGTGCCTGGCCGTGGATCTCTGCATCTGCCTTGGATCTCTGCATCTGCCTCCCTCAGTCACTGGACAAAGGCTTTATGATGACAGTTAGGTTATTTGCTAGGCTGCTCACCAGAGTAGACCGATCCAGGCACCCTCACCCAGACTCAGAAGGACAAACATAGTAAGTACTCACTCATAAGTGCATACTAAATGGGAGGGAAGGAATGGCCGAACTGGAACCCACAGCTCCAGAGAGGCTAGCTAACAGGGAAAGACCCATGGATGATCTTGTGAAGGAGAAGTGGGTGAGATCTACATGAGCGGACAGAGTCGGGGAGGGGGTGGCAGAGGATGAGGAGTGGGGGATGAGGACATAGGGAAATGGGAGGGTCAAGCT